AAAACTACACAAATTTACTCCATTTAGGAATTCCTAACGGTTAGTCCGAACGCATGACACAGTTGGAGGCGTGGCCTGTTCAGCATTTGTCAACAACCAATCACAAGACTGGTTACGAACCAGTTGAGCAAGGCTAACCGAGTCGTGACCTCGATGTGGTTCGTAGCCGATACCCCCCCCCCCCCCCGCTCATAGGGAGTGCGTACAGTTGATCATAGTTCCTGGGCTCCCTGTGGTTGTACCAGGCAAAAGAATATTAAGTTCTGGTAATTATGCACGTGGATTGCGAGCTTGACATGCTAACTTCTTTGTTATTTGTTAATGTATAACTGATTAAATTTTATGTTATTTCGAGGTTACATCAGCCACTTCGATGAGCAACTTATCAAAGAACCACCGGGCACTGCTCTGATAATGGTCTGCGCACATGCAAGCTAACCAGCACTTCACTGCAGAAAACAGTGTCTGATGCACTGCAGCCGCCAAATCCAGTGGTTGAACTTGGCATCAAAGATCAAAAAGAACACGTGTCATCACCTCATCGTACGCAACCAATAGCGACCACCATTCAAAGTGAATCTAGAGGTTCCTTTCAAGGTATTTCTATTCAAATTCAACTTGGCGATAAAAAAGTAAATATTGTGGTGTAATTTTGTACTGATGAATTCATTAAAAGCAGCTGCTTTAAAGCACCTTCCATCTGTCTTGAATATTTCATTGAGTGACGTGGTGTTACGTATCATATGTAAATTGGTAAACCTTCACGGTTACATTTATATTCAAATTAGATTGGTATTATATTGGTATTACATATTTAAGTTACAACACATAATACAAAATATTGCAGGTTTTGAATCTTGTGTAAAACAAAACAGCTCTTGCATTTCACGATTGCGGAGTAAAAACACCTTTAGATCTCAATTTCTTAAAAAAATAAAAGCTTTTTCTTAAGCAATACATGTATATATGGAGATAAACAAAAATAAAGAAAACAATGGGTAACATATATTTGAGAAAATGGAATCTTTCAAAAAATAAAATGTTCATCTATAAAATTCAGTGAAAATGTTGTACGTCGAATGCGCAATCATTGTATTATTTGCGGCACTTGGGGTAAAAAGAAGAATAAGAGTTCCGGAGCGGGAATAAAGCTCCAGCTGTGAGAATGATGAATTCAGACAGGTGGTGGAACATTGAGGTAGAAATTGCCAAAATTACCGGCTGGTTTATATTGGCAAACCACGTAGAACTTTGGTCCATACGCCCTCTGTTTTGTTGCTATGCCACATCCCAGTTGGTCGCTAGTCTTCCATACAAGTTGTGTGAAATGTCCTGAAAAATAAAAATTGAGACATGAATTTCGATTAGCATTCGAACAGAGCGACGACCTAGGTTCATACTAGCAAATAAAACTTTCGCGTGCGGGCGCCCTTGTAACCTTATAATTTATTATCGCTATTTTCGTTGAAGGGATGTTTCAGTGAAAATAAAATCCAGTGAATATACCTTTTTTCCTATGTTTCACATTCAACTCAACTATCAGACTCAGTGAAGATAAACTCCATAAAAACACCTAAAGTTTTTTCATCGAAAATTTGTTCCAGCTAAAATAAAGAATTTCACAGTGTTGTTTTCTATCGCTTGAAGGCTAGTCGCGTTTAGAAGCTCAGACAAATAATTTGTTTCGTTAGACACTGACTTATCAGAAAAGCGTATGTACAATGATACAACTTATTGTTTAGAGTCATTGTCTGAATTGCCTGGATGACAGACAAATCTAGAAACAGCCTGAGAGCTGCTACAATATTTCCATCTTATTTTAGTATTAACCATTTCCTGCAAAATTGTTGATGCGACATTTTGCACTTTACTTTACTTTCATGATTTAATTTTGAACGAAATTGACATATTTTAAGCGGAGATTAGCTATATACAGGTCTTGATAAACATTTGTGATTTGTTAAATTTATTGTATTTAATTATAAAATTTGTTGTTTTCAACCAGCTTCTTACGTTTCTAATGATGATATGTTAAATTGTATAGGCTACATAGCAACTGAAGAACTATAAAAACATGATTGACGTCACCAGTTTAATTTAAAGCATTTTGACTCACCATTGGAACTGTTGAGAGTACCTGAAGCATAATTATAGTTTACATTCTCTGAATACCAATCAGATACTGGCGTGGATCCTGCAAATACAGACACATTGTTTATTTTCATTACTTTCCGTATTACGGGTGCCACTGGGGGCGTCATGCCAATTAAAAGACAACACCACAGGCTTTCCCAGACAAAAACAAATCAACTACAAAAATGAAGGTTTATGTTTCAAAATTCAGGAAATTGGGATTATAGAATTAACTGGTAGTGACTTTCTTTCGAAAAAGGATGATCTGTCATGTGTGAGTTTAAACAATTTCTGTATTCTAGGGGTATATATAGTTAATAAGGACGGGGTCTGTGTCATTGCGTCGCAAACTTCAGTCACGTTCTTCAATCTGTGGAACTTAATAGTAGTCGTCAAACGCCCTCTATCGGCGGTGTCCCACTTTTACGGCACCATCATAGTACACACCATCCTTCACCTACCTGTGAATTGATCATATGATTGCCATCTAAATGCGTCATATCCGGTCCATATATTTTCTCCGCGATTAGGTGGGTTAGATCCTCTGTTTTTACTGTGTTCGGATGAGTCGGTAGCCGCCAAGTACTCCGCCCATTCTTGGGCATAGTCATTAAGTTGTGAAGACAGTCGCAGCTCAGGTGACCCGTGCTTGCAGCGATAGAAGTTATGGGCATCGAGCATCTGCTGTCTGATGTCATCCAATCCAATATTGCATTCGGCTTTCCCGGTGGGGTTAGAGCACCGTCCTTCAACGAGGGATTCTGATGAACATCCGAGTGATCCGCCCCCGGCTCCACCTGTCGCTGAATTAATTGAGAAGTAATAGTACACTTTACTCGTGTGGACTTTGAATTGAGGCAACAATCATTTTCAAAATTGACAGAACATGATCATTAGTTGATTGATTGATTGATTGATTGATTGATTCGATAAAAATATCCCACAACTGTGATATGGACAGCAATGAGTCTGAATATACGAGGTAAATTCTCAGACAATAATGGCATGTGTGGTTATTGTAATAATGTCATAGGTGATAATAGCAATGTGGATAATATTTCCAGACAATAAGCCATGGTTGGTCACGGTTACTATCAGGTAATAATGGCATAGTGATGATAACAGTGCGGGTAACTAATATTATTATACATTGTCACCGTAACGCCATAAGTTGCAGCGTGCTGTAATTTTGCGGTATTTTACGGGGTATTATCATCCTGCCATATTAGGAAATGCGAATTCCAAATATGGAGCGATTACGTGCGTAAGCCCCATCTAATAATAAAAAAAAAATGGCTGACACCAGAGTTCGACCGGATTCCACACAAAGAAGTTCGCTGATTCTGTTCTAAACATTTTTGATTTCGGCGTTCCCATGGTGTATCCTTGGTAGGAAAAGATGTATAATAATAAGGTTGTTAAGAGGATACCTCAAAGTTTACACTTGCTGCGCGTCGGTCGATACTTCCGCTGTACTGTCTTCGTGTGTACTTTGAGGTATCCTCGTAATAACCTCACATTATCACGTAATAATGACAAGGTATCAATGAAACTAGGAAATATTGATAAACCCTGTCCTAGAAGTGCAATATTAGTGAAAAATGTGCAAATCATAATGCGATAGAGGATATTCACAAACTATTATAGTAAGTTATTCCTGTATTTAAAGGAATAGAAAATATAACGACTTTCTGGCGGTTGATTCATTGTTATTTGACAAAAGAGAACAAAATGTGTGTATCATAGGAGAGGGTCAAACTAAAACTTGGGCATGTATTCGGAGACCTCAGTTCATTGTATACAGGGACATACTAATAACAGGTGAAATTCGTCCACGATACATCCAAGGTCACAAAAATAACAAGGTAATAATGGCACAGATAATAATAGCACATGTAGTTTTGACACGGGCAATATTGAAAGGGAATATTTCAAGCTATATTCAAGGGCAACAATGGTATAGATAGTAAAAACATGATATTGCAGAAAATGACATACAGGTAATATTAACGAATATTTTAATGGATGTTTACTGACCAGCACAGTCCTTCTCGTCACTGCCATCTAAACAATTATTCGTCCCGTCACACAAAGTATCTTCTTTCACACACAGTATTTTATCTGCACATATTATTGGGTAATTTGGATTCCAGCACAAATCGTCTTCTCTTAAAGGAGGGTTTGGATTGTCTAGTAACAAAATAATCATTATAAAAATATTAATTGAGATAACGTAAATTAATTTTCAATTATTCCCGTTCAAAGGTAATCGTTTGGACAGTCACCACAGGACTATCCTCAAGTTTCCCTTTTGAACTGACATTCCGAATAGATACATGTGCATGCATGTACGGTGTTTAATAACGATACAACATTCACATCTATGCATCGTACCCTTCGAATATTATATTCTCCGTGGTTACTCCAAATAGTAAAATCTATAAAAAAAATATAGTGGTAAGAGAACAGCGTAAATAAAAAAGAAAATATCTTTACAGAAATGGCGTAATGAACACTGATACGCAATAGACATATTTTAAATTTTATTTTAAAACATATACCCTTTTCATAAGACATGCGCCCTCACACTTTACTGTGGAATATGAACTCAGAAAGAGGCTCACGGCGGATTATATTGTTTTGCTGCCTGAACAGATATAAAAAAAACACTCTTTCAAAGGTAAGAAACACTTTGTATTTCTCGTTTCTTTTTAATTCAACCCATCAGTGTTATAATTATGAATGTGAACATGATGAACCAATCAGGATGCCGGAACCATTAATAGTAACCGGCCTATTGTGGTTTGGTGCGCCATGACGTATGGGGCGGTAACCAGCCAACTTAGGGATACGTTTGGGTGCGCTGTTATCGACAAGCGAACTAATAGTCTGTTGCCCATGCGCTAGTCTCATACAAACGCACTGTGTGGTATTTTTAAAACGTCATCGATTAAACCCATCTACGCCATTTTGACGTCATATTATAGATTCGTCGCCAGAGGGCGCGAATTAGTGGAAATGTATATTCACTTGAATATTCGATAAAATGTCGTAGGCTGCGTTTAGTGATTTGACGTGACTGCAATCTTAGTAACATAATTGACATTCGAATCCGGGCAACTGTCTCCGAGGAGTTTCTCACCTGCACGCTCCTGGAGAAGTTCGTCGAATGATTCTGGATTTCCTGATAGAAGATCTTTCAAAGCGCGCACCAGCTCGTCACGCTCCCTGTCTTCACTTTTCGTCTGTGTGTCTTCGCCAAAGTGAATGCTGCTGTATTTGGAAGACGCCGCAAGTACTGCTTTCCCAGTACGCAACTACAAATGATCACAGAAAGCAACGATCAAAGACAGCCATGGGTGGACGACGAGACAAAACAAAGTCTGTCTATATGAACATGGACAGACGAAGAAATACATAACGACGGAGGAGGGCAGAAGAAGAAAAAAGCACTTTAAAGCATTTCAGTAAAAATAAAATGACTTCAGGTATAACAAAAATATTAGTTTGCCATCACTATTTTTTAACAGGTGCAGTTTCTTAATGGTCTTAATTACAGCCTTGTCTCCATGGTAAAATATACTTCATGAATGGAATGAAATAAGTGCAAAAAACACTACGATAAACATTCTTTTGTTTTTATGCAGAAAAATACAGTATTTTTACTGTAAATCATATTTGTTAAAGTTATTGTTCAACATCAGTTGTTAGACTACATAGTTTGTAATTTCACTCAGCTTCTTTCAGTCATAATTCAAGACAAATAAAATGCAAAACTATAGAGAATATAGCAAATAGCAAATATTCTGTCATATTCTTGTGTAACCGGTAAGTATGAAATAGTTGGCATATGGAATACATTTCGTCATGAATTGTTCTTAATATATTTCTGAATGTTTTCGTCAAAATCACTTTTTTTCAGTTTTTTTTTCAAAAAACACGACAGAATTTGTCGAAAATGGAAAATCTTTATCGCAGTGTTAAAACTTCAGATGATCATAATATCGGCACAATCCAGGGGCTCATTCCTTCCCATTCAAGCTGTAAAATTTGGAGTCAAGGCAATTCAATAAAAAACGACCGAAATAGTGCGATTAAGACAG